TAGATACATAGATACATAGATACATACATACATAGATACATACATACATACATACATACATACATACATACATACATACAACAAGGTAAAGATTTCTCTGTCCAGTTGTGTTGACTCTAGGGCATGGTGCTCATCTCTGTTTCTTGGTTGAGGGAGTCAGCATTGTCCAAAGACATTTTCTGTGGTCACATGGTCAGCAAAGCTATATGCCAAAGGCACACAGAATGTTGTTCCCTTCCCACTAAAATGATACCTATTTATCTACTTGCATTTGCATGCTTTCAAACTGCTATGTAGGCAGAACTGGGGCAAGTAACAGGAGCACACCCCATTGTAAAGCACTAGGGTCTCAAACCAGGCTGTCAGCTTTTCAACTGACAAGCTCAGTGTCTTTAATCAGAGTAATCACACTCCTTCCATACTGTGTGTGTATGTATGTGTGTAAAGGACATACAGTAACTGAGGTTGTAAAAACTGCAAGCCCTAAAAGTAATGACACTAACTGTGGAAGACTTCAGGCTTAGACTCAGAATAACTTTATTGTCATTTTGAATCTACACTAATCAATGTACATTAAAATGAAGTTACGTTGTATATTTAGCTATTAAGAAGCAAACTTAAGAGGGAAGAAAGGTATGATGTCAAATTCATAAATATATTAGAACTATAATATATTTTATAATTGTACAATACAATATAAATAGATATATTAGAATTTTCAGATCTAAATTCTATTTTCAGTAGACTAGGCTAGGAAGTAGCTTTCATTTCTCCAAAAAGCCAAATTCTTTCAAGAGATCAGAGCCCTATAATCACCTTACTGATTATGTAATATAAATGGAAGTCAGGCAAATGACAATCAGAACAACTAAGATGTCTTTAAGACAAAGAATGCATTTAGCATAATACAGCCAAATGGCCCAAGGATTTCTTTTAGATTTGGCCATCGAAAATATCACTAGTATATTTCTTGGTATCAACCACATTTTCTTGCATTCCAATTACATATTAAAAGATTAAAACTTGCCTAGGTCACATCTATGAGCCTTCTCAGAGAAAAGGATGGGTCACACTGAGTTAAATTTGATTTGTATAAAGAGTAAAATAGAATGAGAAGCACATGGAATGCAAAAGCCAGGAACAGGTTTGTTTTTGGTTGAAGAAAATGCAGAACGCAAACAGCCTGATTCCTAGTTTAAAATAGGATAGCACACCTGGTCTGCAAAAATTAAATTGTTTACTAAATTACTAAATAAGCAGCAAATAGTTTTTGATGCTTTTTTGCTGTCATCTGGCAGTCTTTGGGGTTTTAGTAGTTCAGATACAGTAGCCCTATGCTAAGTAAATCTCACAATTCCAATTGATTTGTAATGGCTGGTGTTAACTCCTAATTCCTCTTTAATGTATTCAGTGACCATCTTATACAGAGTGGCAGAATATTTTGAGAACCATCAGATAGTTTTGAATTTTGCAGTGTAACATCTCGTTATCAAGAGCACCTGTACCATTACTCTCTTTTGAACAATTTCATTTAGTAACAAAAAAAGTGAAGGTTCTAAGAAAATACAATACGTGGTAATTAATTACATCTGAAAAACTTTAGCATACATTTGTGATTATTAAGGTTATGTTTCCTATAATTCTGCCAACAAAAACAAATTTGTCTTTATAATTTCTAGAAAAACAACTTTGATGTACTGTGTTTAATTGGACTATAAATTTGCATCCAAAGCCTACATAATTGGTACGGTGATGCATTCATTGGCATCCATGCCGTTTTTTCACAGAATCGACACAAACACCCATACAAATGTTGAGTCATAATTATAGAAAATAGAATATTGATTGATCTTTTTACTGTAAGTGCTACTTGATCTGAGAAACTATATAAATATATATTGGGCAGATGATTTTTTTTATTCTGCCTCACCATAAGTGAGACAAAAGATTATTGCTGAATAATTCTACACACAAGACAGATTAATAAACATAGTTATAAGTACCTTAGTTCAGAACATGCAAAAATGTCCATTCCCAATGAATCCCTGCCAATAGCCTCTCCACTCACAATAGAAGTTGAGCACCTAGAAGTGCATTTAAATTCCTTTGATAAAATTTGTGTTTGGAAATACAGCAGATACATTCTCAAATAAAATATCAAAATGGGATAGAACAGGGGTGTCAAACTCATGTCGTCATGGCAGCTTCACATGACATTTTGGTACTTCCCCCCCCTTCACTAAACCGGGCATGGGCGTGGCCAGTGCATGACACATCCGGCCTGCGGGCCGCAAGCTTGACAGCCCTGGGATAGATTTCCTCCTGACAGCCTGGAGGTGTCAGTTCACTTATATGCATCTTTTAGAGGCATATATACTACTGAATTAGAAGAAAGTAAGGCAAGTAAGAATATGGACAGATCGCAGTTTTGTCATGTTAACATGTGGTTTGTACTTTCCTGTGTCTTTCATTAGGGCTTGGTACATACGGTAAAGAAGGAACGATGAGGGCTACAGAGGAATTCGTCTATATTTTTTTTAGTATCGTCCATCTGTTAACAAGTGTAAGCAAAAGAGAAAGCATGTGGGTTCTCAGATTTTTCAACATCTAAATCTATTTTTCTGGGTCTTAGATAAAATTAAGCATGAAATTTGCCAGTGAAATGGCCAGCAACATTGTGCCTCAGATCCAGCAGAGTTTTGTCATGGAGAGAAGCAACCTAGAACTAAGGAGATATTTCCTGACAGTAAGAGCAATTAACCAGTGGAACAGCTTGCTTCCAAAAGTTGTGGGTACTCCATCACTGGAGGTTTTAAAGAAGAGATTAGACGGCCATTTGTACAGAATTGTATAGGGTCTCCTGCTTGTGGAGGAGGGGGGGGCTGAACTAGAAGATCTCCATGGTCCAATTCTGTTATTTGTTAATATATATACAAAAATAAAAACAGTATATTTTTATTTCTAAGTAGACTATTAGAAATAACGAGACATTAAAATAATCCTGTTTCTAATTTCCCAGCCCTCAAAACTAGCTTAATTAGTGATTTGTCAATTTGCAAGATCAGTTTAAGGGCTCCTCAGTCTTTTGCAATTTGGTCCCCTGAGAAGTATTGGGGCCTCAGTGTTCATAATTCTTAGTGTGCAGGAGCATGATTACTAGACGTGGCAGTCCCAGCACAGCTGAAGAGCACTCAACTGAGAAAAGCTAAATCACCCTGAGAGGTAGGGGCTGCACACATGTTAGAAATTTGAGCACGGAGGCATAAAAGCTTTGCTCCAAAGCCAACACATTGCTAGATATTAGGAGGAAGATAGGCAATTTGGGCTTTCTGCAAGAGGTTTTAGAGTAGCAGTCCAGCACACAAGCCAATGGACCAAATTACTCTGTCCATTGACTTGTTCTCTTCAATATCTTCATAAATGACTTAGATGAGGGAATAGAAGGGGAACTCATCAAATGTCACTAAATTGGCAGGAATAGCCAACACCCCAGAAGGCAAGCTCAAAGACCTTAACACACTTGAACAATGGGCCCTATCAAAAAACATTGTTAGATTGGGCGATGGAAGAGACAGGACTCAATGCTAACAGTAACAACAGCTCTTTATTAGTAGATCGGTACAACCCAGCAGTCAGCTTGTCTGACTGCACTCCCTTTTATAGGGAGCTGCCAGATGGGTCGGCCAATGAGATTTTAGTATTTTCCTGCCAGAATGGCGGACCTGAGTGAAGACTAGCTCACTACATTTCAATATGTAACAAACATGAAATTTAATGTGGAGAAAAGTAAGGTTTTACACCTAGGCAGGAAAAACCAAAGGTACAAGTACAGATTAGGTGAAACCTGGTTCAAAAACAGTAACTGTGAGAGGGACCTGGGAATCCTAGTGGTTGATCACTTAAACATGAGTCATCAGTGTGTGGAAGCAGCCAAAAAAGCTAATGCAATCCTTGGTTGTATAAACAGAATCAAAATCACGTGAAGTATTAGTACCGATTTATAAAGCCTTAGTATGTCCACACCTGGATTACTGCATCCAGTTTTGCTCACCACATTACAAAAACTATGTTGAGATTTTGGAAAAAGTGCAAAGAAGAACAACTAAAATGGAATTAGGTATGGCCAGTCTAGAGGAAAGAAGGACTAGGGGTGGACATGATAGCAGTATTCCAGTATTTGAGGGGCTGCCACAAAAAAGATAGGATCAAGTTATTTTCCAAAGCACCAGAAGGCAAGACAAGAAGCAATGAATGGAAACTAATCAAGGAGAGCGACCTGGAATTAAGGAGAAACTTCCTTACAATGAGGACAATTAACCAGTGGAAGAGCTTGCCTTCAGAAGTTGTAGGTGCTTCATCACTGGATGTTTTTAAGAAAAGACTGGACAGCCAACTATCTGAAATGGTATAGGGTCTCCTGCTTGACCAGGGGGTTGGACTAGAAGACTTCCAGGGTCCCTTCTAGCTCTATTCTCATTGATTGAATTAAAAACTGAGGTTTGAAATAAGGAGAAAGTTCTCAAAATGGTGCAATGTGCATTTGTCACCACAATCTACCTTATGAATTGATTTGTTCAATGATCCATTGATTTGTTTTCTTGGCTGTACTCGGGAATTTTCTCCAACACCAAAATTCAAAACTGTCAATAGTCTATCTTATCAAAGGATACTAACTTCACACTTTCCTTGCTAAGCACTTTCAGAAATTGCCAATTAACTGCTTTAATGACACCTTCAAGGTTGGAAAATCCTTGAAACACCTCCTTAATATAAGAAAACAATAAAGCTCTTTATAAGCTTTAAGGATTTAGAATAAAAAGCAAAAAGAAATACAAAGTTTTCACTGCAGGAAGTTTTAAACTTTTATAAGGGATGGATTAAGGACATGGAATGGAATGGAATGGAATGGAATGGAATGGAATGGAATGGAATGGAATGGAATGGAATAGAATTCTTTATTGGCCAAGTGTGACAAGACAACTTGTAACTTGTAATGGCATTCGGAGATATTTCTGAGGAAGTGCACTGGGACTTTGAATCAATAATGTCAGCTATGTTTTGTCTTCTTAGGAACAGTCTGTTTGCAGAAGAGGCTACAGAACAAGATATGTAGCAAAGTCCACCCAAGATCAATATGAATTTGTCATCAGTTACAAAAAACATTGGATGAAGCTTTAAAAATTAAGAAGGAAATAAAACTGACTCAGAGAGCAATTGGAACATTTTTTATTGCTGGACTTAAAAAAGAGACTTTTTAAAATACTAAAGAAATTTGAAAGAAGGATCAATAGTCACCTGAATGGATTAAAAGTAAGATTGTTTTGCCTACCTAGTTTGTCTATTCAACCAGGATTAAAATGGGACATGTGGGTGGTTCTTTTGGAATTAGTGATATCTTGTATAGGGACAAATCTTGTGTATTGGATTTGCTTATAGTTAACATGAGGTTTAAGCCGTTTCCCCCCACTGTTACTTTATGGATTCTAATCTGATAGCATTTAAGTTTACTTTTTACCTCATTGCCTTTTCACTTAAAGTAAGGTATATTTGAATGCTTGTTCATGTTAAAGGAGAAACTGTCTCTTTTTGTCATGTTAAATTTTATTCTTTGGTTCATAGTAGGGTTATTATGTTTCTAAATGGACTTCTTACAGTGGAATGTTGAGCTTTGTAAATAATTTATCATTTTAGGGCAGTTTTTTGACTTTTTGATGACATTTGGATTGGAGAATACATTACTTATTGGATTTGCCTACAGTTAACAGGTGAGTTATGGGATGAAGAGTTTTATAGCTATTAATTAAGGGAAGTGAAGAGGTTGCAAAATTGTTTATACTTGTTATAATGAGGGTGGAAAGTTTTTTCCTTAGGGTTTTTTCTTTTCTGTTATTTTTCTTTTTTGCTTTCTTGCATCTTTTGCTTTCTTGCATCTTTTAGTTTATATTATCTTTTATTATTGCAATTAAAAATTATATATGTAATTTTAATTAACAGGAAGAATATTTTTAATAATAATTACAAAAGTACCCTTGCTATCCTGTTTCTTTTTTAAAAAAAATACTTTATTTTTTTTATAAAACATAAAGATAAAAACCAACAAAACATATGATCCTGTCCTGTTTCTTTAAAGTCAACTTTTCTTTCCATAGAATGTTACGGGGAACACTGTGGCTTGCATGATTCTGATTTTTGTAGGCATGGCCTTTGAATGTCTTTTCCAATCCCTTCATAGCAGCTCTCCCAGGCACTAGTTTGTGGTGTATTTCTTGATTGCTTGTTTCTTTACTATTGATGGTTGATTCTAAAGGCCAAAGCTTCCCTCCACTTCAATAACTTCATTGTCAGTTCTAAGGCTGATTGTTGTACCTGTTGCCATTAGTTTGGTCTTCTTTATATTAATTTTGGTCCATTTTTTTTTCATGTGCTCTTTGATGTTTATTACTAGGGCTTGCAAATCCTTTGCATTTTTGGCTATCAGGGTAGTGTTATTAGCACAGCACAAGTAATTGATGTTTCTTCCAATTTTAAAACTGCTCATCTTCTTCCAATTCTTAGTATAGGAATTCCTTAGTATATATCCTATTTATTCATCATACAGTATAGGCTGAATAAAGGTGAGCATATGCAGTCTTATCCCATTCCTTTGCCAGGAATGACAGGAGTCAGCCTGTTTTGTGATGTTTTGAGCAAATTGTGACCTGTATGTAAGTTTTTCATGAGAACAATGAGATGTTCTGGGATTCCCATTCTTCTGAGAATTTTCCACCGCTTGACCTGATTGACACAGGTGAACATTTTTCTATAATTGATGATGTACATAATGACTTCAGTGCATACTGAATTATGCAAGCCCAGTTCCCCCTAACACTCTATGGAAGCAAAAGTTGATTTTAAAGAAACAGGACAAGGCCATATGTTTTTGTTGGTTTATATCTTTATGTGCTGAGGCCCCTCCTTAAGAAGCCTTCTCTGGACCCGGCTGTTATGGCTAACTACAGTCCTGTCTCCAACCTTCGCTTTATTGCGAAGGTTGTTAAGAGTGTGGTTGCGCAACAGCTCCCGCAGTACCTGGATGAAACCGTCTATCTACACCCGTGCCAGTCTGGCTTCAGGCCTGGGTACAGCACGGAAACGGCATTGGTTGCGTTGGTTGATGATCTCTGGAGGGCTCGGGACAGGGGTTGCTCCTCTGTTATGGTCCTATTAGATCTCTCAGCGGCTTTTGATACCATCGACCATGGTATCATGCTGCACCGGCTGGAGGGATTGGGGGTGGGAGGCACCGTGTTGCGGTGGTTCTCCTATCTCTCCGACCGGTTGCAGTTTGTGTTGGCAGAGGTCGACCTCGAAGCACCTTGGTTGTGGGGTGCCACAAGAGTTGGTCCTGTCGTCACTCCTGTTCAACATTTATGTGAAGCTGCCGGGTGAGATCATCCATGGATTTGGGGTGCGGTGCCATCTGTACACTGATGACACTCAGCTGTACATCTCCACCTCAAACCACCCCAACGATGCCCTTGAAGTGATGTCCCAGTGTCTGGAGGCCATGCGGGTCTGGATGGGGAGGAACAGGCTTTGACTCAACCCTTCCAAGACTGAGTGGCTGTGGATGCCGGCATCCCAATATAGCCAGCTGGTGCCATCGCTGGCTATTGGGGGCGAGTCATTGACCCCCACAGAGGGGGCGCGCAACTTGGGCGTCCTCCTGGACACACGGCTGTCTTTAGAAGAGCACATGATGGCCGTGGCCAGGGGCTTTTTATCAGGTTTGCCTGATATGCCAGTTGCGCCCCTTTCTGAGTCGGGATTCCTTATGCACAGTCACTCATGCTTTCGTCACTTCTCACCTGGACTACTGCAATGCTCTCTACATGGGGCTCCCCTTGAGGAGCACCCGGAGGCTCCAACTGGTCCAGAATGCGGCCACGCGGGTGATTACGGGAGCGACATGGCGCTCCCATATAACACCTCTCCTGCGTGAGCTGCACTGGCTCCCGGTGATCTTCCGGGTGTGCTTCAAGGTGTTGGTTCTCACCTTTAAAGTGCTCCATGGCTTAGGGCCAGGGTATTTACGAGACCGCCTTCTGCTACCGATAACCTCCCACCGGCCAATATGCTCTCACAGAGAGGGCCTCCTCAGGGTGCCGTCGGTCAAGCAATGTCGGCTGGCGGCCCCCAGGGGGAGAGCCTTCTCTGTGGGAGCACCCGCCCTCTGGAACGAGCTACCTCCCAGAATACGGCTGATCCCGGATCTCCGCACTTTCCGTAAGGCCCTGAAGACATTTTTATTTCAGCAAGCCAGCCTGGCCTGAATAGGTTTTATGGGTTAGTTTTTTAATTGTATAGCTTGGGGTTTTAAATTGGGAGACCGATTAATTTAATTTATTTTTAGTTATCTTAACTTTTATATTGTATGTTATTTTAATTTTCGGCTGTTCACCGCCCTGAGTCCCTTCGGGGAGAAGGGTGGGATATAAATTCAATAAATAAATAAATAAATAAATAAATAAATAAATAAATAAATAAATAAATAAATAAATAAATAAATAAGTTTTATTTAAAAAATGTTCTTTGATGATGTACATACTGACTTCTTTGATATTCTTTGGCTTTCTTAGTTATCCAGCCTGCATCAACAATAATATCTCATGTTCTTTGGCCTTTTCTAAAGCCAGCTTGAATATCTGGCATCTCTTATATATTAGTTTTCCAACATACAGAGACTATAAATAAAATAAACTATATATAAAAATAGTCAGAAACCCCAATTGGTGTCCAACAGCCTTTGTGGCCTAGATCTTTGAATGCTAAAAATCAGCCCTGACACCAAGTTCACAGAATATCAGGCCATGGTAAATGCACAACATTAGAACGTTAGATATCTCCAAATATTCTCTTTCATGATGCTTGGTGCTTTTTCTGTATGAGGCTTACTTTGCAATTTTCAGGTTGATTATTCAGAGGTAAATCCATGTTATTGCTAAAAGTCCATAGCGCTGCAACCCAATAGGAGATTTTTCTGACATAGGTTTATCACAGAAATGGCTCACATTTCTAATGCTCTTTCTTGACTTGACTGGCTCCATTATGAACTAAGAGGGCAGCAACATATACAGTAATGTAAAGAAGGAACTATTACCGTCAAGGTTAGAATCACTGGATGATTTTCTTTCCTCATAAACCTGTTGGTTTATGGGAAGAATAAAGAGTGAGATGTTTTCTGGGATTAGAAAAATCAACATGATTATTCAGTTTCTTCCCTTACCTGCATTCAACTGTAGACAGAATTATGGACCTTGGTCCAATTTGCTGAGCCAATAGGCTCACAAAAAGTAAATCAGTTCTTATATATAGTTCATGGTCAGCCAAAGAGAATTCTAACTTTCTTTTCAAAACACACATAAATCACATCATAGAGGGAATATATATCTATATATCTATATATATCTATCTATATTTATCTATATCTAGATAGATAGATAGATAGATAGATAGATAGATAGATAGATAGAGATAGAGATAGAGATAGAGATAGAGATAGAGATAGAGATAGAGATAGAGATAGAGATAGTTTTCCTATATAACATACACAACTCCTATATAAAAGTAATTGATCCTGTTGACCGTAAGAGCCGGGCGAATGAATTTAAGTATTTTTCTTCAAAAAATAAATTACAGATTTTGTAATTTGGCTCTCACATAGATACCCAGCAATTTTCAGCACTTGTTTCTGCTCAATTAAATAATGTGACAGGGGAGTAGACAATTGCTACAGTAGAAAGTGAAGGAAGACAGCTGCTCTTTGATGTTTGCAATCTTTGTTTCTTGCCCATTGTCAAGTAAGTTCTAACATGGAAACTTCAAGACTTTCTAATCCTCCAGCTCTTCTATTTCTCAAAGAATTTAGAATAAATTCAATAATTTTCCATTTTTTAGATCTATGCTAATATTCATAGAGTTATAATGGTTCCCATTTATTATCCCCCAAAATCAATATACAGTATGCATTCTTTATAAAGCAACAATATGGCTAATAATAAAAATCTGACAGTGACCTTGAAGTACTTATGCTCTAAGTAGAAACATTTAAATTCTTCTCTAAAATCTCTGATTTATTTTTTCTATCGTCATCTCCAGATCCTCAGGAGTAAGTTCGGCCTGTAACAAACCACAAGATATCCAACCACTACTCAAAGCCAGCATTGCCACAATAAAGAAAATAACAACAAACTTCAGTAAGTAAATATTATCTTTCTAAGTCACAGCAGTATTAACTGGTTGTTATTACACAAATGCCTAGAAGATGCACATAACATCAACAAAACAACAGCCTAAAGGAAATATATTGCAACATAAACCAGGTGTAAAACTTTAGAGGTGATGTTCAGCTTTAAAAGGCACATAAATTGGCAAACTCAACACAGCTCCTGGTTTTGCCTGGGTACATAGTAGCCACATTTTGTACTGCAGAATCAGAATCCAAAGTACTAATAATATCAAATACCTGTGCTCACGTGAATTCATAAATGGGAGAGAGGAATCCCTGTCCATTATTCAAAACCACAGATTATGTGCACTAATGTGAACAGAAGGTCCTGTTAGGATTATTTTAATCAAAAGTGGACCTAATTATTATAAACATTCAATTAATATAGAGACCCACAATGGTTTTTCACTTAACCAGGTACCTTTTTTCCATTTGCACACCTTCCACATATTTTCAGATACAGACTTAAATGAGTATGTGATGCATTTGTTCATGGACTGCTGGAGGCAAAAATAGGCAAGTAAATTACCTCCTCTCCCAGTACACTTTCCCAGGGACACTAAACTGTTAGCTCAGCCACGAAACATTTAGAAAGCCAAGGAATAAAGTCCGGGCTCCGTTATCTCAAAACTATCACTGTTTTTATAGTAGTACTCCAGGGGTGTCAAACTCACGACTCATGGGCCAGATGCATCACACACTGGCCACCCCTACCCCCAGTTTAGCGAAGGGGGAAAAAAGTCACAATATGTCATGTGATGACAACGTGACGCCACAAGTTTGACCCCCGTGTACTACTCTGTTACCAGTAGCTCTATCCTAACTACTTCACTGACATCACTAAAGACAGAATGTGCTGTAGCCAATTAAATACTTTGCTGCTGTATCAAATCACATGTATATTTGCATAAGTCTATATAGGGTTTTGTGTTTCAGTGAGATTGCATGTTGATTTCCAGTCCAAATGAACTCCGAAAAATTCACTGTCCTTTCAGTTACAAATCCCTGAAGGCTGTTGAATTGCTATTGTGGAATATTATTTGTCCACAAACACAAGTGGAGAGCATTTGTCTATGAGATTCAACAATTACTTTTTGGGCTGCCCAGAAGCATTCAGAATGCTTTTTTCTTTTAAAGCTTGTATAGCAAAATCTTATGATGCTGAGATAATGATATTGGAATCAATACAATGAGAATAATAATTACAGAAAGAAAAATACTTTTTGACACAACATCCACTAAAAAATCTAGAGGTCTGAGTTTCTTTTCCTAAAGATTTAGGGTTTTGAAAGCTTTGTTTCTTTTTGTATTAAACATTAAAAACATAGAATGGAGTACATGTTCTGAATATCAATTCCTCTCTTTTACTTTCAATTTGACACTTATCCATTAAAACCTAGTCTTGCCACTGGGAAAAAACATGAAAAGTAAGTAATTTTGCACTTTGCTCAGAACAAGTCAGTACATGAAGCTTTATTTAAACAGCACACAACATCTATGCTAACTTGGACTGTAAATTCTGGAGAACTATTTATCTATTATACTGAAATTCTTCAGTTCAGCAATTGGGATCATAGAAGTCAAAGTTCTTTCACTGGCTTTTAAAGCCCCAAACAGATTTAAATCCAACTGGGATCAGTTTATCTTATGTGATCCTGTTTGAATTTTTTCAGTTTAAAGCTCCCTTCACTGCTGCTTGGGGAAAAAAAAGAGAACTCTGTAATCAATGGTCTGTTAAATAAAATCAGTAAATGAAAAAGTACAGTTAAGTAGGAAGTTTAATAATAAAAAAGAATAAACCTCTCAGTTTATTCAGTTCTTTTTTACTATTAAAGTGTCTCTTAATACAGTACCAAGCTTAGGTTTGTTTCATGTGTCTCTTACATAAATTTTTAATATTTTTTTTCACTGATGATTGTCAGGATTCATTTTTTGATTTTCAAAGTCTGCCATATTTTACTTTGTAAGCCGACTTGAAAACTTGACATTAAAAGGCAAATAGTAATCAATAAAAATGTGGATTTGCCCCCTAAGTAGTGCGGTTGAGTAGTGCGGTTGAGTAGTTTTATGATTAAATTTTCATAAAGTAGAAAAGACAGAATCCTTAGGGTTTGTCAATACATTGCATATACCTCTGAGTTGGCAAGATGCAGGCAACAATATTGGCCCACAAGGTAGTCTTTAAATTGGTGATTCTAGCTTGCATAGAATATAATGATCATGCTTAAGATAAAACTGGACTCTGATTATGATTGTGGTACTCTGCCCACGATATGTAAAAAATGACAGTTACCATTTTACTGTTAGTTACAATATGATTCAGGCTGGTGATCTCGTTTACACATTTTTCATCTTTTCTTTCAAACCTCCCACATTATGTGGGAGGCTTAATAGACAAAAATCATGATGGATAGCAAAGATAATATCACTCCCATTCAATCATTGTCAGGTAACTATAAAGTTTTTTTTTTCTCCAGATAATTTAAGGAAAAGATCAAGGTCTCTTTGGGAGTTCTCTAAAAATTTCAGAAATTTGCTAGTACCAATCTCAGAATTTGCTTCAAAATGAGCAACCATGCCATATCAAAAGAGTTTACACATCAAATGAAACCAGCATTGTCAGTCCCAGTTTTTTTCTGATTTATATATGAAATATCAAAACTAATATTATTGTACAAGGATAATCATAAATAATATTGTCTATGGTTCTATAAACCAAGGTGGCTTTTCAAATTTTGTCATTATAGGGACTGGCCCAACGCTTACACAATTAAGATAATTATGTATCCATTATATCACCTATATCAAATCAGCTAAATAAGCCTTATTAAAAAGTTGAAAAAATAGTTAATATTGAAGCAAAAAAAAATCTATGTATGTTTTCTAAGATTCATTTGCATAGACATCTGGAAAGGAGATTTCTTTTTTTATATAGATTTAATTGTGCCTATTAGATCCTGAAGAGAGTGGACTTGAAATAGCTATATGTGAAATAAGCTATAAACTATTTCACATATAGCTTTCAGAAGGACTATAATGTATTTTAAATTATTAATGTCTTTCTCTGTAACTTTTGATTAAATGCTAAAAAGGTGCGATTATTTTTTTTACTCTAAGCATCCTTACTAGTAGAAATAGTACGGTTTTGTTATAGCAATATGTTTTGTTAAGAAACTATGCATCATTCATCTTGCTTCTTTTCTTGCTTGGAATATTGGAATATTGGAATTATTCAATCTAATTTTTTGCATTCTGTATAACTTTGCTTATCCCAAAAGGAAATAGCATGATTCTCAGAAGACATACAGGGAAAATTAAATTGTTTACTTTTTCTTATCCTTTTTGTTTGTAGTGTACTGGGTGTCAGAATAGACATACTGTAATATACCTTAAGAGAGGCAGGCTTGAAAAAAAATACAATAATGACTTTTCACAGAAAACCATTACAAGAAAAGGACCAGTAAAAGAAGTGCTTAATGGAATGAATTTTCATCTCTTTTTTTTTTGACTTCTGTCAAGACTGAGACAGGGAGAGTAACACCAAATGGATACTGATTTCAGTTAATTTCACAGCAACAAGGCATATGATACCATATATGTCTGTTTTAATGTGCTATATATAGGTTTAGATGGATGGTTCCAGTTATTTCAATTCCTTTTTGCCTGGTAAGCGTCCTTTGATATATAACCTTGCAAGAGACATGTAGTTTGTTTTTAACATCATAATGACTCATCGTGTTCATTTATTTTAAAATGTCACCCTTGACTTCACTCAGTAATTGTCTGAATTGTCAGTACAGATTGTGTCAGCATTTGCATGAATTCATTAAACAATAGATCCTTCCATTTATTCATGCTGCGCAACTGACATGGCCAAGATGACCTGCTGGAGCGGTCCTGATTATTAACTAGCAAATCCAAAACCATTTGTTTGTATTTTGCTTCCCTTCCTTCCCTCACTGTGGTTATATAACTTAATCCAAAGCAGGAATATAATATTCCTTCCTCCAGCTTTAGGATGGAGTGTATGAGGTAACACAGGGACAGTCGCAGACAAATTGCCAGTATCCCTGAGTAATTGATATTTATTTATTTATTTATTACATTAATTAATTAATTTATATACCGCCCTTCTCCCAAAGGGACTCAGGGCGGTGTACAGCCAACATAAAACCCACAAATATAAAATTTAAAAAATATAAAGTTTAAAAATATTAAATAGTTTGGCCCATAATTAAAATAAACAACCCAATTAAATGTTTAAAAAAGAATAAAATTTAAAAATTAGGCCAGCCCGGCTTGTTGAAATAGAAGCGTCTTGAGGGCCTGGCGGAAGGTGCGCAAGCGGATATGGTGAAGCAGCGGTTGACAATCTGCAGAATCCAAAATTGCATAGATTATATCAAGAGGGCCCATTTTTTGTATGAATCTGAACTTATTTATTGAACTGTTTTTTAAAAAACATATTAACCATTTCTTTTTTTAAAAAATCCACATTGCCTTTTGGGTCAAAGCACCCACAGTTGAACTGTAGGAAAACATGTCCTTGCCTATATCACCTTGCCTGTAGGTGCAGGCAACCAAAACTTTATTGCAAGCAACCAGAATATTTTATTGTTGATCACCTATTACAAGAATCCTGTCAGACTGTCTGCTTTCCTTTGGGAAACAGCAGATATAGGCCTAAAGGTTTGACCTCAGATATTTCCTCCCCAAAATGAATTCCAAGCTGGAACGTCTGCCTATTCCCCTACAGCATGGGTGTCAAATTCACCACATCACGTTGCCGTCACATGACATTTCGTGATGTTTTTTCCATTCACGGAGTGGAGTGGGAATGGCCTGTGCATGATACATCTGGCCCATAGGTCGCCAGTTTGACTCCCCTGCCCTAAAGGTGCCTCCACTTCTTCAATCATACTGCTACATCTAGCTTCCCCCTTTTTATCCAGCCTAAATAGCAGGAAG